CACACACACACACACACACACACACACCCACACACCCACACACACACTCACACACACCAAAAAAAAAAAGAAAAAGGAAAACGGCACAGCGCACAGCGCGCACCCCTGCCCGGCAGCGCATTTTGACGCGCATCCCGCACAGCGCAACCGTTGCGCACATCCGCGCACATGCGCATGCGGTGTGGGTGAGCGCATCCTGCATGGCACACTGCACCGCATCGCACACCGCACCGGTGCGCCGCAAGTATGGTGCGAACCCATTCAATCCCACCTAAGATTACCACCAGCATGGTCGTTTTCAGCGCAAAACGGAGCTCTGCCAGGCCTCATGCTCCCATCAGGTTGGGTTACAGAGTTGCACCACCTTGCGCCAGCTCCGGCCAGCATCGCTCCAGTAACGACCCCCGATGACCACTGAGGCTGCCCCGGCAAACAGCCCCCCAGATCTCTGTACCAGGCCTCACGCCCCCAATAAGCTAGGTCACAGAGTTCCGCCACCTGGCCCCGGCACGGGCCAGCGTTGCTCTAGCATCAGCCTTCGAGGGCCACCGCATCTCCGATGCTATTCCCACATCTTCGAGAGGCAACTCAACTAAAAGAAAACTGTCAGACTGGACGTTAAAATTCTGCAAGGACGATCACCCCTCCCTCCCCATTCCTATCCCTCCTCAGCCCTACACTGCCTCCGCCGAGGCGACCCTCCCGCTCCCCCTCGGCCCCAATATAGGACCAACCTTCTCCCTCCCTTTCCCCAAGAGCATGCAGTTCCCTCCTGGAAATCTAGAATGAATCTTCTCCTAGAAACTGGAACCATATGCCGCCATATGTTTTTTCTTTTGCGCACGTGGTGATGACTGGAGCGAGGCCCTTAAGGCCACTGCACGCAAGAATAGTAAAAACAAAATAAATGAGAGAGCTACTGTGGTGTTAGTAGCAAGTTCGTAACCCATAACTGCTGGAACACAGACCTGAATTAGAATCCAGAATATATTGTTGGCCTGCTCATGTCCTCTCTGCATTTCGGTGAGCGTCTTTCCAAAAACATGGGACGCCTGCTAATTACTGAGGGGGACCCTTCGGGAAAGAGACGAGATCCAACGAGGAGTACCGTGTGGCTCCAATTTCTCTCTCTCTTTTTTTTTTTTTTGGTGCACTTACAATTTTCAGAAGGGAGGGGCACATTTTGCTACCACAGCCTGCCCTTCTTTTTATTTTTTTAGCCGACCCTATTTTCGTACATGTGCCACATCACGTATGTGCGCAACTTGCGTGCTCGTGATGCGCCTCATGTATGACACACGTAAATGAGTTTTTGGTTTTGTGGGCCAATGCGGAAGGCTCTCCGAGTTTTTTTTTTGGACCTTTGAGGGAGTCGGGTCGGTGCCTTCTTGCTGGAGTAGTCTTCTGTCTCAGGTAAGTTGCCAGCCCCTCGTTTGTTGTCCTCGTCTCCCTCTCTGCCTACGGTTTACCGGGCAGTTCTGTTTGTGACGATATATATATATA